CATCCCTCCACTCACTATCCCAGAAAAAGGATGGGGAGATTATAGTTTGTACCAGAGAGGGTTCCAATAATGTTACCTTTGTGCTTTGAAAAGCTTGGAAGAGGCCTGTGTACAGCAGTTACGCAGTGTTGTCACGGATCTAGTAAACACATTCTGATTTCTAGATTTCAACTACCATGCTCCTATTCTTTCCAAGCTCCTCTTGGCCCCCAAAACAGAATGAGTGGGTTCAGATGACATGCCAACCCATACAGTGTGGGTTAATTGCCTGAGACCCATCGATGTACCTGACAGATGATTATTTAGGGTTAGGGTTATTTATTTATTATGTTATTTAATTTTTCTACTGCCCATAAGCCCAGAACATTGTAAGTTTTTGTCCACTTCCTCCCTTTTTGGTCCTTCCATGGGTATTCCAGGGATTCCTGCTGCAGCAATGACATTTATTTCCCATCCAGCCACAATCAAAAGCTGTCTTCTGGTCACTGTTGCTTTTTGCTAGTTTTTTTGTGTTTGTTTTAACAATTGTAAAGCCACGTCAAGGAACCTCTTACAATCCCGATTTTCCACAAAACTATAGCTCTCAAAAAAACTAGCTTTCATGATCTCTCCACACAAAAAAATTTCAAACCAAGTTCAAAGTTCAAACCAAAGCTGAAACCAGTGGCAAGGCTGAAACAGTCCCAATAGGGATAAAGGAAGCATGGGAGGAATGAGGAGGGGACAGCTCATGGTGAGCCCAATCATCTATCAGGGTTCATTATCAGTTGTTCACCGAACAACCAACCCACTGTGGCTTATCGTGATGCAGGCACATTCATTACCACACATATGGTTGAATCGCAGCACAGCTGTTTTACAGCTCACTGGCCCATCACTTAATCCAAACCTGTGTAATCTACACAAGAAAGTCATCCTCTCTTCCTTTCACAGATGTACCTCAGACTGCTATATAGAAATATGGTTAACTCAGTAGTAAGTAGTAGTGAAATTTGTCCTTGCTCCTATCTCTCTCTGTTTGTAGGAGAGGAGGGGCATATGTTTTCTCCATCCTTCTATTTTTATTTATTTTCTTCTAGAAGGGTCTTTGAGCCCCTTTAGAGAAGGTGTGCTGTTACAGACACAGCTGGAGAAACTGTGGAAATATATCCAGGATTATGTTTTCCCCTCCCATCTACCAGAAGACCTTTTGCCTTTATAAAGTCCCTCAAAGTGGCTTTTGTGACCTCAGAAAGCAGGCAGCATAGTTATTTCTGCAGTGGTTGCCCATGCATGGAAGGAGAAATTGGATCATGTTGTTCCTTTGCTGGAGTTACAACCAGTTTGGAGGGAAAATCCAAGAAATCCTTTGGTCCCTTGGAAACTCTCCAGGCATCACAGGATAACTCTTAATGAGAGATGTCTTCAGTAAATGCATTCATGGTCATTAGCTATTAGCATGAAGTGATCAAAATTTTCTAAAATTTACATATTTTTCTTCAAGACTGCATGTGACAATGTCTAAATGATATGCAGGTCCTCTGGAGTCCATTTCCTGGCTTTAAGCCTAGGAAGCTGGGGAATGTACCACTCTCTTAGTTCCCCTTTAAACTGAACATTTTAGTACATGTACATTCTGTCCTTCTTCAGCAATTTATATTTAAATGAAACTGACCGTTTCTAAAAATTGCTGTCTTTAAGTGTAATGACACTCCTGCATGTGCCAAGTGCGTGACTTAATGGGGGATGAGTGAAAATACGTTATTCCTCTAAAATACATTGTTAGCATCATTTGTTTTTCTTATCAGTGTTGTTGATGTGCAGAGAGAGAGAGAGTAATGGCCTGTGTCTGTCTTTGAGACATTTATGGACAGCTAGCTTAACAGTGACCCATATGAATTCATGAACCCTATATTTTATGCCACTAGTTTATTATTAAAGGTGATTACCTTTAGTTTTTGATCCATTATATGGCAGATGAACAAAGATATTTGAACTAATAGGTGAATTTAATTCCTAAGAGATCTTTTACTCCAGTCCAGTTTTTTTTTCCAAAATTTAAGAACCTGCTATTTGGTGATGGATCAGCACATAGTAGCCAAACATCCTTGCTTGTCTTCCTTTTATGGGAAATTACTGAAATATTTTACATAATGTTAACTGCCTAGTGACAAGTTTCCACACCCCACTAATTTTTCCCACTTTGTTTAAATAAAGCATTATCAAAGGCACTGTTCTTGTATTCATAAAGTGGGATGTGCAACAAAATATGGAATGATGTTATTCAAGGTTTCAATGTTATTCAAGTCAGCTTGCCAGCCATATCTTCGTCTAGGTTGCTCCGTTCTATTCCCTGTCTGTCACAGCTAGTTTGAGCAAATTTCATATTGAACACCCATTTCTAGTGGTAAGCTGCATTGAAGATGGTAAAACCAACATGGAATATATACCAGGAGGTTGGCTCATAAATTGGCAGGTGGGAAGTTTGGGTCCTAGTGATTTGATGGTGTATATTCAGTGAAATGTTTTGGCAAAGGGAGGATTTTGCAAAATTGAAGAAACTCTGGATTGGTAGACAGTCTACTTTACAGGTCTTTTCTCTGTTAAGCTTTATCTTTAAAGAATGTTCTTTAGTTGACAAACACAGTGACCTAAAAGAGAACACAGGTTCCATGGCTCAAAAAGTCCTAAACTGTGCACCCATTAGCTGTACTTTGTCTTTAGAACAGAACTTTCCCCACCCTCTATCACATCTCAACTCCTTCTTGCAAAATCTAGCCACTGTTGATTATGAATCACTCCATTGTTCTTAGTATATTGACATAACATTAGGAAAAATATGTGTGCATGTAATTTGGAGATCATTAACTCCAACTTGATGTCAAGTTTCTTCAAGTTCTTAAATGTTTTGATACTACCTTTGCCATGATACAAGATAGGCTACTTTGCTTGAGTTTTCTAAACTACAAAGATGGATTCAATCATGGAGGGAAAATCAGAAATGCAGAGACTTGTGAATATTCATTCAGCTTGTTCTGAGGTGTGGAAGTATCATGAAATTTGGTGTACCAAATTAGTAGAGGGCGATGTATCTGTAAAAGATAATGATAAATAAGGTTGCATTTTCACTGTCTCAGATTCCAACTGATTGCAAGCAGTTTTTCCCAAGAAAGTAAGATTTTAGTACATCTACTTTTTCAACTGATTTACCATCTATTGGCAGAAATTCTGAGTATAGTGTAGTTGCTTTTCTGGTTTCATAATCAGATTTGGCAAAATGAAATGTTATTAGTTATCTGCTTCACTTTATTCACACATTGGGCATTTGTCACTACCTTGAAACTTACCAGTTGGATATGCATTCAGCTATACTTAGAGTAAATCTATTGAAATTAGTGAGACTGAAGTCAGTCAATTTAAGTCCCTTTGATTTCAATAGACCCACTCCACATATTACTGAAGGTGCAACTCACTGATCTGAAAGCTGAATTGAAGTGCTGCCTAAAATTCAAATGGATGGTAGTGCATATGTCTTTGAGTCACACAAATTGTATTCCAATGGTTTAGTAGACCATTGTAATGCAGAACCAGACATTTATACCCAGAAAGAATATGGTAATTAGCATGTTTAATTGTTGATCAACATCTTCCTTGCATATCTTTTAATCAGGCACCTGTATTAATATCCTTTTTACACAATGATTTTTGTGATTTTTGAGGTTTGCTTTTTCTCAGCTGTTTGATCCTGCAGTCCTTAAAGGGGTAAAATAGCAAAACAATGCATCTCTTGTTCTTATATTGTAATGTTATGCAGTTCTAGACCCCTTTTTGATCCTGTTGGATTCACATAGTGGACTATCTTAGAGTGCTGTGACTTAAGGTCAGTGTGCAACTTGTGTGTGCTTGACTTTAGTAAAATGTTTGATGTCCAAACCAAATTAGAAAATGTTTATATAAAAACGAATTAGTGTTTCAGTTTGCACTGTTTAAGTTTTAGGGATTTTTTTTTATGTAACGGTGATTTTAGTTAATATTAGTCATAGATTCCACATAGGTGAATAGTGAAAATTTTAAAGGGGAGTTTGCCTTTGACCCTTGCTCATGTGTACCTAATTTGCAACATGTTAAGCTTTAATAAGCTTTACCTGCTTACTTTTAAGGGATTTTCACTTTCTATTACACGAAGGTGGACTGCTTAAGGGTATTCTAAAATGTCAGAAAGCTTTGTAAAAGGAGCAGCTTTTTTTACAACCACCTACAAAATGCTGCAGAAGTAAATAACTGGATCTTAGACCTCGCAAGTATACGTCTACTTTGACCTCCACCTTGAAGCCTCTGGGCTTTTGGAACTGTCAAGCTTTCTTTCTCCTACAAGTAGCAGTCCAAATCCCAAGTTGAAAACGAATCTATGACTTTGGCCTCTCTCCAGCATTCCTCACTGAGCAAGTAAGGATTTGGAATGTCAGAAAATAGCAAGAGGGGAGGGAAGATAGAAGTGCATGAAGGCGTTCCTAACTTGGAGGATGGAACAAAACACAGCTTCGTCTGGACTGCCCCTTTCTGAAGCAACATTTGTTCCTTATTTGTACTTTCTTGATGCAGTTCTGCTGCTGCAATGAAGACCTGCCTCAGCAAGGCTGTGGATTAAAAATGCTTTTTACTAAACTCTCTTAGCTGGACAAACTTGTAATCTTTACCCTTTGCCAATTTTTTAATGATTCCATTTCTTGCCCTCTTCGTTTTGTGGATATACTCTTGGCTTTGTTGTTTAAAATCTCTGAACAGCACAGCATCTTTCTGGAAGACCTGAGGGAAGGTTTTGGTTCTGAAGGTGGCCCTCTCTAGCTCTCTGCACTGCCAACAGAAACTCCTTAGGTTCTATCTTGTCATTATTAAAGCACTATGGAGTACGTCCCCGTGACATTTCATTGTGCAGTCATCAAGCCGGGTGCCTAGAAACGTATAACTTTGAACATCGGTTGAAGTACTATAATTGTCAAACTAGTTTCTTCTTACTTTAGAAGGCACCACCCAGCTGCACATAGTGAGACAGAAGTGAAGAGTTGGATCTTGTTGCTACTGAGAGGTGACCTGTTGCCTTGCCACCACCCTGAATGGGCCATGTCGTCCTTGTATACCAGGAGTAAGGAGTTTACTCGAAACAGAAAATCTCAGTCTGATTCTCCCCCATCGTCTCCTTCCCCGATTGCAAAGACACTCAGAGTAAGCAGTCTTTTAATTTCCGTGTTATATTAAAGCTTGCTGAGGGCTGATACGATCGCAGATTACATGTGCCTTTTCCCACTTAGTCTTAATGTAGGACTCATTTAATCCCTGCCAAAGCCCTCTTGAAGAAGGAAACTTCAGCAGTATAGAAATCTAATTCTTCTAACCTTGGCCATAGTTAGTGCCTGAAGGATTATAAGCAAATCACTTATTTGCTTCCGATTTCTTCGCAGTTTTTAGGAACCCCATTTGCTTGATATGCTTACTAGAGCATAGGCTTTGAAATGGAAATGAGTCAAAACCTGAACATCTTGTTAAGCTGCTGTATATTTCTTGTATGTCATGTACTTAAATAATGCTAGCTTTTGAAGTTTGACATTTGGCTTGACTGTGAAATACTGATGGAATGTTATGGCCTGCACTATTTTAGAGATCCAGAAAATAGCCTCTTTGTGAGAATATGATGTTGAGATAGCTATTGTTCTATTTCACATTATTCTTTTCTAAATATCAACTGTTCCATTTTGATGACTTGCAATATTAAGAAAGTTTAACTCAGATTCTTCAAGAGCTTTCCTGAATCAGTCCTATTTCTTTCCCAAGCACTGAATAGGGAGTTCTGAGTCTATTTAAATGTTAATGCAGTCTCCATTTGTGATCATATAGGGTATGCATAAATGTTTCAAACTTTATTCTTTATACATGACCATTAGAAACTTTGCAAAACATAATTCTGATATTATCCTATTTGGGTTTATAGAATAGGAAACTGATAGAATAGCCATAATGAATGCATTCTTATTGGTTTAGTTTAAATTTACTTTTCTTGGCATATATGCACTTAGCAAAGTATAAAGCACCAGGTATGGGACTTCAGTTGCCCTTCTTCAACACTGAATGATAAACCAGAAAAACTGAATGAAAAGCCAGAGAATGTACCACAGCGAGCGCACATTATTTGGACTTCATATTCTGTTTAAAGTAGAATAGTATTTTTCTGTAGACTTAACTTGCAGGAAATTAATTTTGATCTCCTGTACTGGAAACAAAGACTGCAATGCAAGTGGTCTCTAGGAAGCCTTTTCAGGGAACTTCGGGTATTGTGGACACTCCTCTTTGCTCAGGGAGAGAAAGATCAGCTACTGGATGCCTGGTTTTTGGCCACACAAACCTGTCTGTGCTCTTACCATGGCAGAGAGAAAAAGGGAATGTACAGGAGACGACCAAGAATAGTTTTGGTTCTCAAGTTCTCTCATTCTCCCAGCAGGACCCTGAAAAGAAAGGGAAAACTAATTCAGCTGTACAGCTAGCACAGTGAATTTCCCTTCCGCTGGACTCAGTAGGGTAGAAATGTTAACTAATAAATATAACACAAAAAAGGTGAGGAGGGAAGAAATGTTTATCCCCTCTCTTTTGTTTTGATGGCTGGTTAATGGCGTGCAGGAAGGAGCAGTTCTTTTACCATGAATCCCCTCCAGCACTTTAGGATTTCTTTGATCCTGATGTTAATATGTCTTCTCTACTTGAACACCCCTTAGTAGATGTTCACATAATAGCAAATTCCTCTGCCATGTTTGTTCTTTTAGATCAAGAGAACTGGCATGCAGTTATGTCACAACATTTAGAAACAGTTCTGAAACATTTCATAGAAGTATCTAAAAATAATACCCACTACTTATTCTACCATGCTGACATGCATGTATACTTAGTGACTGTATCATTTTGAAGGAAATTACAAGTAATTAAAGAAAACAACATTTCATTGGAGTCATGAAGAACATTTTTTAAGTTAAGCTCAACTGAGAATTCACCTTCTGAGGAAAATGTTGGGGTCGGTGGCGGGTTTTATTTTATTTATTTGCTTCTTTAACTTATTTTTTAAAAGTTGTTATAATACACTGTACTTACATGCTAAGTAACCATGGTGCTTTTGTATTCATTTTCTAGCTTAGATCTTCTCCTTTAAATTACATTCTCTGAGGGCATCTTCTTAGCTTGTACATTCCCAGTGCTGCTGCTTTGCAACATTCTCTCATATTCCTTTATCTCCTCCAGTCAGCTCCCAAACTCATACCTTCACATTGGTTCCTCCTCCTCCTAGCTTCTTCAGGTGACATTTCTTTCTACTTATTTCCTGTGATATTTGGGCCTGCAGCTGTCAGGGACTTGTAACCTCATTCTTTTCTCTTCAATGGTATTGAGAAACCTAGCAGTTTGAGAAACACAGCGTTACAAATAAGTAAAGGAACCATATATACAGATTACTCTCTACGCAGTTGATTGCTTAATGAGACAATTTTCTTCCCCTGTCAGTTAAGCTGCTTATTAGAATCCATTGTTAAGCAATTTAATCAATTCCACCATACTCTGGAGAGCTCTTGTTATACTCCAACAGTAAACAAGCTAATCAGGCAGCCTTCAGTAGTACACACAGCTCTCTCTCCCCCACCCCTCCTCCTAGCTTTCCACTTGCTGTTCTATAAAAGTGCAATTTACTTTCAAAAAGTGTGCATCTGTCTACGTGCATGTTCTTTGTATGTATATAGAAGGCAATGTACATGAGATGGAGGCTTCCATTTTTAGGTACTCCATTCTCAACTGAAATTGTTTTGCATCGCCACAAAATAAATCTGTAAAATAAATCAATTGCATGTTTTCTGAGGCTTGTTCAGTATTTTCCATTGTGCAGTTTGGGTTTCCTCATAAGAGAGAGTCAGCCTCTTTTAGTTGGTGTTTCTATGACATTGTTACTGGTATAGCTGTAAAGAGAAATGTGGTAGTGTAAGCAGGGTGAAAAGGAACAATGGATTTTGTTCATCCCCTGATTACAATATTTGGAGTTGGGCAGGAAGTTTCTTCCAGTTCACTTTAGGCAATCACTCCAGGAGAGGGGAGGGGTATGTGTGCATGTCTTGTTTGCTGGAATTATCTCAAGCTATTTGCTCTGCTGGCATTCTTTTGCTGTGCACGTATTTTTTGTGGTTGTATGATACCGGTAGATGAATGGTCTTTTCTCTCAACAACGTATTGGAGTAGGAGCCTTTTTTTTCTTCTATCAATGACTGCATAAATAGAGCACTACATAGTATGGGACAAGTGCTGAAATCTGGGCTTTGAGGTGGTATGAATATAAGATCTGATCAAAGTCCACCTGCTTCACACAGTGAACAACTAGCCACCTATTGGGAAATGTACAACTAGCACATGAATGCAATAGTAACTGGTTAAATAAGCATACTGCCTTTGCTACTGGGCATATCAGCATCAGGATTAGAAGCCATTAGTAGCTTTATTATCCATTAATCTTTCTCATCCTGCTCAAAAGCAATCCAAATTGGTGCCAATCACTACATATGGTGGTAGCAAATTCTATTGTTTATGCGCTATGCGAAGAAATACTTCCTTTTATCAGTGCAGAATCTCCTACCAATCATCTTCATGGGATAGTCCCAGGTTCCAGTAGGCAAAGAGAAAAAGTAGAAAAATATCTGACCACAAATAGGTAGTAGATGCTTGAAACAGATCAGTGACCTGTCAAGAACATACCCAGGATATACTGATTGGCACAGAGGAAACAGGACAAGTAAAATTCTGTACTTCTGGGACTTAGGATTGTGGAAAGCTTAAAACTTAAAACTTCACAAGGACAGGAGAATGGGATTAATGCCATCTGGGCAAGGAAGTCTGAGACTTGATACCAGGTGGGACATCCTATATTCAAAACCTATTTGTCTGGGGTCTACAGCACAGTGCCCACCACAGTAGTTTTGTGAGCAAAAATGTAAATCTTGCTTTAGGCTGTTTGTACTTGTAAGCTCTGCTAGATGGTAAGCAATCATATGCATTTGATTGGATCACAGCCATGGAAAATGTAGGACACCAAACAGGTTTAGCAGGCCTAATTCATTATGTTTCATTCAGTATTTGGAGAACAATAAACCCTTAGAGTAAATTTCATGAATAGGAGTCAAATTGTTCATTGCTAGTCAGTATTGGGAGCAATGGCAGAGACTTGTTCATGCACATTGCTAATTTAGTTAAGTATCTATTAGTAACAGCACCAAGATGTGAGACTGGCTGTTAGCTAGTTCCTGCAAAATTTTAAGGGGTTTTTTAATTTATTTTTTGTGATTTAGTGAGATAAAGCATTCTATTTTCCCAATTTCCTTTCCAGAAATCTCCACCACCACCACAAGAACATAAAATTATGAATGCCCGACAATTCAGAAATGTCTTAAACGTCAGTCCATGAACATAACTCTCCCTCACCAATTTCTGAACAGCTGTGATACCCACATTTGCATTTTAAACTTTGAGATTTAAACATCAGTTTGAGAAATTAAAGGTAGGGTGGGGATGGGAATCAGATTCACATAGAAAACATGCAGGTAGATCCTAGCTGATTGCTTTCTATTTTGTCCTCCAGATTTTAGAAAATGTTCTTCTGAGAGTTTTATCTTTATATTAAACAGATTAGGGCTGAAAACGGTGGCTTGTCTTTATATTATTAAACAGATTAAAACTGCAATCCTGTACACAGTTAACTAGGAGTAACTTCCATTCAATTCATGGGACTTACTTTTGGGTAGATGTGTCTAGGTTTGCATTGTCAGAATTCTAAGATGCTTTATATATTGAAATATGGTATAGAACACTAAATATCATTCATACACTGTAATATTTATGTTTAACTAGTGGGATGAAGTCAAAGAATATTGTTGCTTCTAGGTTTCTTAATTACTGATGGATTATTATTATTATTATTTACTATTCTTCCAGTGTACTGAAATGTCTGTTGCAGCAGATTGCACTCTTTCAAATAATGCAATATTGCTAGTATTTCTGCATTCTAGGTAGGGGTCTTACTTTTTCTACATGAAAATCTCTAGAACAGGAGCCCAAAGGCCAAATTCAGTTTTGGGGAAGTAGTGGGTAGGGCCAGTGCCAGAAAGGGCAGGGTCACCATGCAAAAAATGCTGATTTATTTCTTAAGTACC